AACCCACATTAACCTGCGTCATGTATGTCAGCCAACCAGGCAAGAATGCATACGATTTATCCCAGTCGCCAAATAACTTGACAATGGCTTTCATTTTAGCCTTCCAAGCTTTCCTGTAAGATATGTTGTATCCATACAAACGTTGTACCCTCTCTTGAATAAGAACTGGCTTCAATGATGGATCTTCTTTTAACATACCTATATAAAAAAAAACACCGGCCAACAGTCAGAATACAAACTGATTAACGTTAACATACCTTAGGAAGTTAGATATATCGAATAATACATACTGATAATGGTTGCACATATCACATCAGAATCCAACTGTCTATGATCCCGGGTAAGACCTTGGTTTAGGCAGGTGTGTTCTTTAACCCATTTACTAACCACCCAAGTATTTCCATTCTTCGGCAACAATGCCCTCACATACCAGGGACATCCATCATTATGGTGTCGACACTTCATCACAAATCTATGGTCATCACTTTTTGCCACAACGGCAGTACGGTGAGCCTTCATACAATATAATTTGACTGCATGTTGCATTTCAGATTTGCTACGAAACTCCTGATACAAATATAAAGGATCCCCTAATTGCCAGCCACCGTGATCATCATCGTCACCATACAATATCTCCGTCTCATCATTAGGTTGGGCCCAATTAATGAAGGTATAATGTGAGCTTTCATTCCAAAATGGCTCGACCTCAGAACCTACGGATGCATTATAATGCCACCGTCAATACCATTCATAACAAAAAAAATAATTGCTAAATTAAATCTTTAAAAAACAAATCTTACCACTGCTAACAGGGTCAACACGAAGTGGTCTCGTAACCTGCGAACCCGGGGATGGTGAGCTTGTGTCAGCGTCGAAATCACCCTCTACGTCAGTATCTGACGTGTCACCTAGTGGAATAACACTCTCAGGTTCACCGTCCTCATCGCTGTCCATATCGGCATCCTGTTCATCCTCATCTATTTCCCGCAGTGTTATCTGACTTATGACATGTGCAGGTGCAGATAAATCGACTACTCTTTCTTCATGACCAAAATACGGTTCACTTCTTGTATGCATGGGTGCAGATGAAGATTGACCACAATCTAATTCAACATATATCTCAATAAAATTTTGAAATTTTCGGTCAACAATTGCATCTATGACACATTCGACATCTTCATCATCACATATATCGTTACCAATGTAGTAAATATCATCCTTACCAACTGTTGTCTCTACCCTGGCAATCATCCGTTGAACGCATTGGCTGCCTTGCAAACCCAATTTTTGCTGAATTCTCTCCTTTAACTCATTGTATGTAGTGCCCCGTTTGATTTTCAACATTTTCGTTTTTCCTTCAAATTGAACACCATTGGGGCCTTTATAATGCTTTCCATGATAGTAGATCATTGTCACATACATGTTTGGACTTGTGCTCATCTTCCTCACGAAATTGGGACTTGGGTTCTGAAATTGGGGGTTTGGGTTCGGATTTTGGGGTTTGGAATTGGGCAATGACAATGATTTCACAATATTAGGTCTGTAGAGATGGTGGGATGAAATACAATCGGATTGAGAGGATTACACATGAACAAAGGGAGCTATTTAGGTTTACACAACAACAACAATCGAAATGAGACCGAAAACATGGAAAATATAGGGTTTCAGTCGACATTTAGTCGACTAAATATCGATACTTAGTCGACTAAATATCCCAAAAATGTAGTCGATTAAGATGGTTTTTTAGTCGACTAAATTTGCGGTAGTCCACTTTCTGAAGATTGACCATTTGCTCGACTAAAACAGCAAGGTAGTCGACTAAAAGGGGGCAGGTTGGTGGATAGTTCTTGATCAGGGGCAAATTGGTTATTAATTAATTAATGAGGGGCAAAAGGGTCAAAAAACCTTGTTTCTAATGTTTATTCATAAATGAAACTGTTTTTAAGGATCTTTAATGAAGAAAATTTTAAACTAAAAAGGGTGCTCGATTTATCGAACGAATCTTAGTACAACGGGAGTAGATACATTTTTATCAAAAAAAGAAAAAAATAAGAATATAAAAAAAACAATAAAAATAAAGATAACGGAAATGTGAAGTTTTTTTATATTTAATAAAAAAATATATATTAAGTGATCGATACATTCATAATACTAAAAATATTTTCCGTACTATCCGTCAAAAATATTATTTTAATTCTTCATGCCCGATCCTATGATCCCAAATAAAAGTAAGAATACGTTTCACCTCGTGAATGAAACTTAGTCTCAGGCTGCATCAAAGAGTGAATCTGAACAAATCATAATAACTTAGTCTAAGTGAATTCTTATTACCGTATTAATATGTGATCTTTATTTATCCCTTTATATATTAAATTGTAATTTATTTCATTAAAAGATTATTAAATTTTTAATTAAATTTTTAAAAACATATACATATTATTATCATTTTTTTTAATTAATTATGCATTTTTTTATAATCTAAATTTTTTATTTTTTATGTTATAATTTTTTAAATTTTACTTGATTAATTATGTGTATCTATTTATATATTTGTCTCTTTTAATATATATTTTTATTTTATCTTAATTTAATATTATACGTGTAATATACAGGATACTTGCTAATAAAGTAGTGTACGTACGTCTAATTTGAAATTATTTTAAAATAAAGTTATATTTTATATTAATTACTTTTAGATTTTTCCTATTTTATATATTATAACATGAGTTTTATTTTTCTTATGTCACATAAGATAAATCTTCTCTCTTACTCTCACAACAAATGATGGGACTCGCTTTATTTTTTAAAAAAAAAAAAAAAAAAATAGAACACAAAATTCGAAGTGAGAGTAAGAGATAAAATTTCTCTTATGTGACATAAGAGAAATAAAAACCTCATAACATAATGGTTTCGCCTTCACAACTCAATATATATGGCCGACTTACAAAGGCTCATTAAAAAGTCACATCTCTATCTTCCCATAATGAGCACATGCATCTCTCACTCCCTACATAACTCACCACATACACATAGTGGTACATGTCCCGCTCACAACACGAGCAAGTAATGGACAAAGCGATTAGGTTCTTTATATCAAATCATCACGAGCAAATATTATTCTCATCTATATATTCTCCTCTTCACCACCTGAAGGCATCTTGCATTCATTACTATGATGAGCTTTGTTGAATTTTAGAATTATTGTACCCTTATCTATTCCCCCTCTCTTGGTCATACATGAGATAACATCAATGATGACCCTTTTAGAGTTTTTATCCATATCAATACCTTCTTAATCACTTACATAAGAAACTACAATCACTAGGTTGATCCCTCGTACCTTTCAATTCATAGATGTAGATCTTAAACTTATGAATCGAGATACTCTCGAAACTCAGAGAAAAAAAGAAGTGAGTTAGACAATAATAGAAGAAACTTGAACAAAAAGAAACAAAGTGACAAACCTAACTCTAACTTCACAAGAACTCACATAATATTTTAGTCTAAATTTGTTTAAAAACAAAATACCAAAACTGTTGGTCATATTAGTCAACATGGTTGTTTAAATTATAAAAATAACGAAATTAAGTGTGTATAGTCTTGTTCACACAGGACGTGAGTAAAAACCGTAATATAATTTGGTTGACACACATTAGTTTATACTAACGTTATGCTTTCATTAAACTCGTGTAGCTTAATTTAACATAAATTCATAACTAACACGAAATGAATCCCAATATGGACTTCCTCAACCTTACAATTAAACAAAATATTAATTGCACCAATAAAGAAATGCAAGAGGTTCCAAAAGGGAAATTGACTGAGATATCTATTAGAGAATAATATAAAAGCATTAAAAACAGTCATCATCCAATAACTCAAAATTTTGGATTGAAGTGATTCTTTATCAATATCAAATATAAAAACTCAATTTCAAGCACGGAACTCTCAAAAGAATCAAGATGTTTGTTTGAGTAACAAATAATTAAGATGACAAAATGTGTAAAACTTTGGGAGAAAAACAAACAAGAAAGCCACTACAACATGTACGAGATCTTAAAAGTTTCATATTTGAAAATGTGAATTCTCAAGGCCTGAATGATGCTCTCGTGAAAAATTACATATTAAGAAGCAAATGCCAACCAAAGTGACATAGGTAATTCAACTTTGTGTAATTTGGAAGCAACTAACAATTATTGCTATTAGAGCCATTAATGTTACGACAAAACACTCGAGTGCAATCATCAAACAGACAAGAAGAGATGCAACCAACGTCTGTATCTATGAGATAAGATGGACATTTTAGTGGTTGAGGACTTGTTATCAACTATTCGCCAACCTCATATCTAGTAGCTTCCATAATTCACTGTTTTACACCCCCAGTCAACGGAAATTTCTAAAATACTCCGGTCACATCCATTTTTTCATATATTCCTCCGATAAAAATTTAACAGCAATGCTAATACAGTAATATATGTAAGAAAAAAAAATATTGTTTAAACACGTGTTTAATTTTGAATAATAATCCATACGACTGTGCTATTGAAAATGAGCCTTGCTGTTATACAAAAAGAAAAAAAAAAAATGAGCCTTGCTTTTGCCTCTACATAAATCCACTTCACTCCAAAATGTGCGCAGAAAGGATAAGAAAGATTATTCTCATCTTACATGAAATTTTTTTTTTCTACATATTTTTTGATAATTATGTCATATTTTTTTTTATTTTTTTTTTTTGATGATGAAGCCCACAAATAACTTATTTTCTTTAACATGATATTAATAAAACCCAAAAAGAATACTTTAACTAGGAAAATAGAAAAAGTGTAATGGAACTATATACATTAAAAAAATAAATGTCTCAAACAAAAAACGTGGGCATAATTGGTTGGATATTTCCTGTTATTAGAGGGTAACATGAAGGGCAATATAGTCATAAAGAGGACTATATATATATCTAGTTATTTCGATTGCCTAGATAATTTACTTATAATAAGCACAGTTCACAAGGTTTCTGCAGATTTTCCAAAGCCGCCAGTGATGGAACATGAGGTTGTCTTGAAGCTTTTTGATTCTTGCTGGTTTGAGCTTGAGATTTTGCAAAAAAGCTCAAGATCATCAATGTCAACAAGTTCTGCAGAAAATCTAAAATCAAATCATCGTATAAAAGAAGAATCATCAGACCCAAAGCTTACCCGGATCAAAATCACCCATACAAGATCCATGAGTGACCAATCCATGACAAGTTTCAAGCATGACTCTCTTTCACCGAACTCTGTCCTCCTCCCTGCAAAGCTCCAAACCATTCTCTCAGGAAAAGAAGTCACAGACTCAGAAGCTGAAAACCCAGCAGAGATGATACATCATGAAGTGTTGTTACCTAAGAAGAAAATCACAAGCAATGGGAGGAAGAAAAGGGAAAGCAAGAGTTTGTCAGACCTTGAATTCGAGGAGCTAAAAGGGTTCATGGATCTGGGTTTTGTTTTTTCAGAGGAAGATAAAGACTCGAGCTTGGCTTCAATCATTCCTGGGTTGCAAAGGTTGGGGAAGAAAGAGGAGGAAGAAGATGATTCTGACGAGTCTGTGATTCCAAGACCTTACCTTTCTGAAGCATGGGAGAGTCATTACAGGAGAAAAGAGAAGAACCCCTTGATGAATTGGAAAATCCCTGCTATGAACAATGAAACAGACATGAAAGATAGTCTTAGATGGTGGGCTCACACCGTTGCTTCCTCTGTCAGATGAAGCAGTTCATAATCCAAGTTTTTTTCTGCTTCACATTCATATTTTGCTAATATCTTTGAAAAAATATATATACTTTTTGGATAGTACTGCAGCCTTCCTCATTCATTTTCCATTTTTCTTTGTATTTATTCCCTTCTCAATTTCTTGGTATTTGGCATTCCTCAAACTTGTAAATTGTAATTCTATACAAAGAGGAAATAAATTGTAATTCAAATATGTATTTAGAATTCCTTATCCCCTCTCACAAAATTTGCTGGCTCCTAAATTAGGATAAACTTTGTTTGGTCTTGCTTGCTCAGCTAATGAATTTACACTAGAATTGATAAATATCAAACTCCAAAAATAAAGTTTTAAAGAATTAGATAGCATACAAATTCAGCTCAAAATGCAAGCTGATTAAGAGATTGACGGTACTGTAACAGTGAGGAGGAACCATTCTGTTTGGAATGCTTCAATGACCCTAACTGCTCTTTGGAAAATGTGAAATTGTTATATGCCTCTTGAACACTTTTACAAATTCGTTCTCCTCTTTCATTCTTTTTTTGGAAAATTTTCCTTTTTATATGCATGTATATGCGTATGTACACTGCGCCCCCCACCACACATGCACACATAAAGAAAACTTTTGCATCAAAAAGGATGTTAATTTACCACTATTGCTTAAAATAAGGTTAACTGCTTTTGCATTTTATTAACTGGTTTTTCATGCCTCTCTTTCTGTGACGAAATTTTGTAAATTTCTCACCTCGATTTTAGCTCCGTACCAAACTTATAAATTTTAAATACATAACGTGTTGTGAGGGCTGTACGTGGAGAATTAGCTTTCTTTAATAATTTCCAGTTCAACGATGAATACTAGAATCACGGTCTATTGACAGAATATCCTTAATAAGTAGACTAAGTAGTTACTTTTCTATTTTCTGTTTTGTCTAATACCAATATTTCTGATAATTTATCAAATTTATTAATTTCTAAGATATTTTCCCCCTGCGTAGCTGAAACCATTTATGCTTCCTTAGATAAGTTAATGACTTTCCTTCGTAATTTATATAATATTTTTTTCAAAAAAATATTATATATTATTGACTACAATGCTACATTTGCTGTAAAGTAACTTACTCATTTTCTAAAATTTACAAAAGAATATTCTGCTACCTAACATTTATTTACAGCAGTACCTTTACGAACTTAGTTTTGGAATATAATATTCTAATTTGATATTGACTACCAATCCGTGTCCGAATGAATATATACTCTGCTTATCATAATGAACACGTGGTTGAAGTTGTTATTGTTGTTTTTTCTTCTTCTTTTTTCTTTGATACATAATATGGGCGGTATCTAATACGAGAATAATAGGAACAGTGACCATTTTGTCATGTTTGGACAAAAAAATTATCAGACTGTCATGTCAACAGTAATAATTTATCAAACTGCCACGCGGCATAATTCGCTACACAGTGTAGGGAATTATGTATGCAAGTAATTCGCTACACAGTATAGCGAAATATACCACGCCAGAACCAAAAGTGTCATATGTCAAAATTGTTGAAATTCGTCATCCCATGTAGTGAATTTTAACAATTCTGACACATGATACTTTTTGGTTCTGTGCATTCTGACGTGGCATATTTCGCTAGACTGTGTAGCGAATTACTTGCATACATAATTCGCTACACTGTGTAACGAATTATGCCGCGTGGCAGTTTGAAAAATTTTATTGTTCGCATGACATTCTGATAATTTTTTTGCCAAAACGTGACATTTTGGTCACTGTCCCAGAATAATAAACCCCTCTCTAGTCTCAACTCTCAACCCATAGGAACCTGATTCTTTTGAAGTTTTTTTTTTAACTGCATCCGTACAGTTAACATCTGGAGGTTGATATTGCATGAATAATTTTGTTTCTAACGTTATACTATAAACGGAACTATTTTCAAGGATCCTCAGTGAAGAAAATTTTAAACTACAAAGGGTCGTGTTCTTATCCGTCAAAGGCATTGTTTTAATTTTACATGCCCGGTAAATATCAATGTTTATTATTAACTGTAATACCGCAAATAAAAGTCAGAATACGTTTAACCTCATAAAAAAAAAAAAAAAATACTCAGTCCTAGGCTGCATGAAAGAGTGAATGTGAACGGTCAGTGGCCATAATAAAAAAAGAGAGAATTAAAAGATGGTACGTGGTATGTTTGTGCGTAAAAAAATAATAATAATTAAATGAATTCTTATTCCCCTATTAATATGTGTGAATTTTTTATCACTATATTAAATTATATTTTATTTTATTAAAAGATGATTAAAATTGTTAATTTATTTTTCTTTAAGAAATATACATTTTATTTTTATTTTTATTTTTATTTTTAATTAATTATGAATATTTTTAAATATTTACTATTTTAATTTGATAGTTTTTTAAATTTTACTTGAATAATTAATTATGTGTATCTCTTTACACATTTGTCTCTTTTAATTTATATTTTTATTTAATCTTAATTTAACGTTATACATGTAATATACAAGATACTCGCTACTAAAGTAGTACACGCGTCTAACCGGAAATTATTTAAAAAAAAATCATATCTTTATATTAATTATGTCAAAAGCAAAACGTGGGAATAACTGGTTGAATATTTCTTGTTATTCGAGGGTAACATGAAGGGCAATTTAGTCATGAAGGGGACTCTATATATCTAGTTATCTCGATTGCTTACTACTTAGGAACAGTGCACAAGGTTTCTGCTGATTTTCCAAAGCCGCCAGTGATGGAACATAAGGTTGTCTTGAAGCTCTTTGATTGTTGCTGGTTTGAGCTTGAGATTTTGAAAAATAATTCATGCTCATCAATGTCAACAAGTTATTCAGAAAATCTAAATCATCAGATAAAAGAAGAATCATCAGAACCAAAGCTTATCCGGATCAAAACCACCCATACAAGAAGATCCATGAGTGACCAATCCATGACAAGTTTCAACAATGATTCTCTTTCACCAGACTCTGTTCTCCTCCCTGCAAAGCTCCAAACCATTCTCTCAGGAAAAGAAGTCACAGACTCGGAATCTGAAAACCCAGCAGAGATGATACATCATGAAGTGTTGTTACCTAAGAAGAACATCATAAACAATGGGAGGAAGAAAAGGGAAAGGAAAAGCTTGTCAGACCTTGAATTCGAGGAGCTAAAGGGGTTCATGGATCTGGGGTTTGTTTTTACAGAGGAAGATAAAGACTCAAGCTTGGCTTCAACCATTCCTGGGTTACAAAGGTTGGGGAAGAAAGAGGAGGAAGAAGATGATTCATCAGAAGATGATTCTGATGAATCTGTGATTCCAAGACCTTACCTCTCTGAAGCATGGGAGTGTCATTACAGGAGAAAAAAGGAGAACCCTTTGATGAATTGGGAAATCCCTGCTATGAACAGTGAAACTGACATGAAAGATAGTCTCAGATGGTGGGCTCACACGGTTGCTTCCTCTGTCAGATGAAGCAGTTCATAATCCAAGTTTTTTCGGCTTCACATTTATATTTCTCTAATATCTTTGGGGAAAAAAATATAATTAAAGGGGTGTTTGGTATAAAGTGTTTTTCAAGATTTTTCAAAAATTGAATTTTTTCAAAAAATTTTAAATTTAGGATATTATCATATATTAAATATTTTCATCATATTTCTGAAAATTAAAATTTATTTTCCCCCTTCACAGAATCAAAACCAGGCAGAATTTTCATGTAGACTTCTTCTTCTAACTCACCATTGAGGAAAGCATTTTTCACATCAAATTGATTTATATCCCAATTGTAATGGGCAGCAAGGGATAACAAGATTCTCACTGTATTCATCTTTGCAACTGGAGCAAAGGTTTCTTCATAATCAATGCCATAGGTTTGAGTGTAACCTTTGGCCACTAATCGAGCCTTATATCTCTCAAGAGTGCCATCAGAATTATATTTCAGGGCATAAACCCATCTGCACCCTACTGCTTTCTTTCCGTTGGGTCTATCAATAACCTCCCATGTTTTATTTTTCTCCAAAGCATTCATCTCCTCTTGCATGGCTTGAGCCCAATTCCTATCTTTCAAGGCTTCATGTACTGATTTTGGGATTGCAATAGAATCTAGTGCTGAAACAAAGCTTTTGTGCTGCACAGAAAGATTAGCAGAGGAAACAAAGTGGGAGATAGGGTATTGAGTACAAGAGGGACAGGAGGAACAAGTTTTCTTGTGACAAGATCTTTTTCCTTTTCTAAGAGCAATAGGTAAGTCATCAGAAGTAGAAGCAATGGGTAAGTCATTAGAGATATCAGAAGAAATAGACAAATCATGAGAGGAAATAATATTTGAATCAGAAACAGGGGATTCAGAAGAAATAGGAGATTCAGGACTTACCAGTGGTTCAGACGATTGAGGTTGCTGGTGAGACAGTATGAGTTGTATCTCAGGTGTATTTGAAGGTTCTGACACACCAGGAGCAGACACACTAGGAAGAGAGAAGATTGATCCAGACTCAAAGAAGGAAGGGGACGAGTCTTCTGAAGAACTATTCTCCCCCTGACGATGAGGACCCAGGAAATAAGATTCAGATTCTTGAAAGGTGACCTCCATAGAAACAAAAAATTTCCGACTTGGTGGATGATAACACTTGTACCCTTTTTTATAAGGGTTATAACCAAGGAAGACACACTTAAGAGCCCTAGGATCCAACTTACTCCGATGTTGTTTATGAACATGGACAAAGGCAACACATCCAAACACTCTTGGTGGAAGGCTCTGCAATATGGGAACAGAAGGAAAGAAGGAAGTCATGGAATGAATAGGACTGATATTGTTAAGGACCCGTGAAGGTAAACGGTTGATCAAAAAAGTTGCAGCTAATACTGCTTCTCCCCAATAAGAACTAGGAACAGATGTCTGAAAAAGTAGTGCTCTAGCAACTTCAAGAAGGTGACGATTTTTCCTTTCAGCAACCCCGTTTTGTTGAGGGGTATCAACACATGTGAGCTCATGAATCATACCTCTGTCTGAAATGAATTGTGACAGGCGTTGATTGACGTACTCAGTACCATTATCAGATCTGAGTCTTTTAATACCCTTACCAAACTGAGTCTCAACCATGTGATGAAACCGA